GGCAGGGGGGCACCCGCAGGTAAAATAGGGTTGGATCCTCCAGAACCTGGTGGGCCAACTACTTTTGGCTGCGTTGGGTCTTTGTTGCTGCTTGTGGGCTTTCTCTAGTTGCGGCGAGCGAAGGCTACTCTTCCTTGCGGTGTGCAGGCTTCTCATTGCGGTGGCTTCTCTTGTTGCGGAGCACGGGCTCTAGGCACGTGGGCTTCAGACGTTGCAGTATGCGGGCTCAGTAGTTGTGGCTCACGGGCTCTAGAGCACAGGCTCAGTAGTTGTGGCGTATGGGCTTAGTTGCTCCACAGCATGTGGGATCTTCCTGGACCAGGGCTCGAACCTGTGTCCCCTGCATTGGCAGGCAGATTCTTAACCACTGCACCACCAGGGAAGTCCTTTCCCATGTTTTTAAACAGCAAGTGCACCATTTATTTTATGTTCCAAGATCTTTCTCCTTTCCCCGGGGGAGGAAGCCTGGGGGGGGGGGGGGGCGGGGTGAACCTGGGAAGAGCACTTAGGGGATATTGGTCTGGGAGGGCGATGATGGTGGCTTGGACTAGGGACTTTGGAGTGGAGACAGAGAGGGGGAATTTGAGAGGGATTTTGGTGGTAGAATCTTGACATTAAAGTGCAAGGGACTTGTTTTTCCTTCGCTGCAGAAAAACCTTGCTGCTTCTGCTGCTTCTCATCATGTATTTTTCTCCCTTTATAATTCCTTTGCATTTTTATTATCCATGCTGTTGAAACTCTCCTAACATTAATTCAACCTGCTACTACTACTACAGCATTGAGGGGAGTTATTTATAAAATTCAGTCATCTTAAGTGGGACGCAATTTCTGGACCAAATTCTACTACAAAGATTGCCTGCCTGCCAGCTCCCTGATGCTCCTAATTCTCAGTATTTTCCCATCACCCTTTACAGCAGGGTTTCTCAACAATGGCACAGTCAACATTTGGGGCAGATAATTCTTTGTTGTGGGCGCCTGTCCTGTGAATTATACGATGTTTGGCAGCATCCCTGGCCTCACTCACTGGATGCCATTAGTGCCCTCCCACCCCAATTGTGCCCACAACAAAAATGTCTCCAGGTATTGTCTAATATCCCCTGGGGAAGTGGGGAGAGACTAACCCCCACCATTACCCCCAGTGAGAACCACTGGTCTCCACAAGTTCAGGGAAAGCCCTGTCCCTGGGGCTGAGCTAATGGGAATTCAGATTCCATCTCCTCCTCCCTTCTGCATACTCCCTGTGGGGGACACACACACACACACACACACACACACACACACACACACACACACACACTCTAGTATAATGAAAGCTCTCTGAGTTCCCTTTGACTTGCTGTCCTGTCTGTATTGAATGTGGAACAACATGGCTTAAGAGAGTCCTGGTCAGTCGTGTGTCCACCAGGCAAGTGACTGAACAACTCAACTCCCATCACTACTTACCCATCACTGCTTCTCCTCAGCCTATCTGTAGAACATGCTCTTGCCAGGACTAGCTGTCTTTAAAGCCAAGCTTAAGTCTCACTTCTTCCATGAATCCTTGTTGGCCTGTTCAACTTCCTGTGGCTGGTAGGGGCAGTTGAATGACTGTTTAATTCATTCATTCAGCAAATATTTACTGAGCCCCTACTATGTGTCGGGCATTGTTCTGAGTCCTGGGAATACAGCAATCAACAAAGCAAAGTGTCTACTCTCATGAACTTACTAGAAGGGAAGAGACAATGAATGAATGAATGAATGAATGATGTAGTGTGGGGGCATAACTGTAGGGGTTTGGACGGATCGATAGTCTATCCCCCATGTGTGGTAGGTAGTTTCCAAAGAAGGCCCTTCCCTCCCTGTATGTGCAGACTGCTCTTTATATCAAGATGCTGGGATGGCTCTGTGACTGCATCGACCAATAGGATTCAGTAGGAGTGATATTCCAGGGCTTCTACGACCAAGAAGAAGACTTAAGAAGACTGTTGGCTCCTACTTCCTTCCTCTTGGAACACTTGCTTTTGGAACAGTCCCACTTGGAACCTAGTTGCCATGCCAGGAGGAAGCCCAAGCCCAAGCAGCTATGTGGAGGAGAGCCAAGCCCCACCCACCGCCCCCCACCCCCCCAGCAGACAGCCCCAGATGAGCTCCCAGCTAGTGGCCAGCACCAAACACCAGCCATGTGAGTGAGGCCATTTTGGACCTTCCAGCCGGTCCAGCATTCCAGGTGACAACCTGGGAAGCAAAAGAACTATCTGGTCAACCCACAGACTCTTGAGAAATAGTAAATTGTTAACTTAAGCTACCACGTTTGGGATGATTTGTTATGCAGTGATAGATAAAAGAGACACATCTAAATCCATAACCAATGACAGGCCAGCATAAGAGCCCAACAGACATTTAAACTTATAATTGGTAACGCTGACTGGAGGATATGGCTAGTTAATGCTTTACTCATGAACTAGACAGAGTCCAGTGACTGGCACAACTGGATACCCTCAGGCCTTCTCTTCTTCCCCCTCCCTCCTGGGCAGGTGGGGAGGCCCCTTCTGTGAGACAGAGAGCAGACGAGAACTTGCTCTCTGCAGAAAGGCTGGCTCCCCGAAGAAGGCGGCCAAGCTGAGCATGCTCAGTGTCTTCCCCCAGACTCATCCATCAGACAACTCAGTCCTCCCACAGAGAACAGGGAGTGATGATGGGTAGGGAGACAGGCCAACAGAGATGGTCTGGCTGGTCTTCCTCCACATGGAAATATGACGAATATGAGAAAAAGAGTGTCCCAGCAGTGACAAGGGCTCTGCCAAGGAGAAGCTGTGTTTGTGCTACTCAACACAGGCTGGACAGGGAAGGCCTCTTTGAGGGGTTGACATTTGAGCAGTGATCTGGATGGGGGGCCGTGGGGACATCTGGAAAAGGGCTTCTAGGCAGAGACAGTGGTTAGTGTGTTTGCAGAGCAGCAAGGAGGCCGGTGTGCCTGAAGCTGGGGGCGGGGCATGAGAAGAGGAGAAGGGATTGAAGTTTAGAGGTGGGCAGAGGCCAGAGCATGGGGGCCAAGTGCACCTGGGAAGGATGTCAGACTTTATTTTACATGTGATGGGAAGTCACCAGAAGGTGATCAATGTTCCTTGATAAGTGGGGTCTCCAAGTCACAAAGGCAAGGGCTTCAGTGTCCTGGTAGTTAGGTTTCCTGTTTGTTGGAGGTGTGGCTGAGCCAGGAAGAAGGGGCTGCCGGGCTCCTGTGTGTTGGTGAGGCCACCAGGCTGGAGGGGTGGAGACTTCAGGTGCTCAGTCACGTGCACTGCGATCAGGTCCAACACCTGGCTGGTTACAGACACTTTCAGAACAAAATGGTCAAACAAAAGGTGTTTGCTTTGCAGGACCTCTGGTCTGAGCCACATGGGCAGTGGAATTTCAGACAACAAACTTCACGTGAGTGCCTATGTAATGTTCAGGGCATTCTACAGACACTGGGTGGGACGGAGGGGCAGCGCTGACTACAGCGGGCTCTGCTTGTCTTCCTGGAGAAGGAGGAGGAAGGTGATGTCTCCACAATGAGAGGGAGAATGCTGTCACCACCACAGGGAGCGCTGAGGGCCCTCAGAAGATGCAGAGACCACATACGAGAAGGGGAGTGGCTGAAGTTGCTGTGGCATGGAAGATATGCTATACAAGCTGAGGAGTATATTATATGCACTGCTTTTCCAAATACTCCTTGCAGGCTTAACCCTACGTGAGGAACTGGGCTATGCACCCAGCACTTACAACAGCAGGTGTTCTGCAAATTATTGATTGGCTGACTCTACACAGATGATCCTATTTAGCGCCTACAAACAACGCTATGAGGTAGGCATCATGCCCATTTTACAGATGAAGAAACTGAGACTTAGGGGGGTTAAGGAACTTGTCTGAAGTCCCCGCCACCAGGAAATGATAGAGGCAGGACTGGCACAGCGGTTCTTCAGTATTGAAGACTTCTCCGCAGAAGCAGAAAGGGTAGAGGCCTACCTCGGTTCCCTTCCAACTCTCTGGCTGGTCAACATCTAAGGGCCTCCTCACCCTGAGATGCTGTCTTTCTTTCCATAGAAAGGGTGGGGCAGGCTCACAGGAAGCTGGGTCACCACCCTTCGCCTCCGGCTTCCCAGAGTAAAAAATAACTTGCTGTTCCCGGAAGTACGTGCATACTGCAGGAAGGACATGGAATATTAGTCAAGGCTCCCTTTGTTCTGCAACTGCGGTAAAAAATGTAGCTGCCTCTCTCTCCAGCTCCGCTCCCTTCTCTCCCATCACCACCTCTTGTCTCCTCTCATTCAGAATAACTGGGAGAGCTTGTACTGGAATTCCAGTTTTTCCTAAAGTGTGGAAAACTCGTGCCTGCTGGTATGGCAAACGATCTTCACTGGGAAACAGCCAGACTTCTAAGGAATTGTAATTGTTATGTATTTCTTTCTACAGTCCTGTTTTTGGCAAGAAATACCGGGCTTCCAGTTATTACAACAATCAAATATTTCCTTCATAATTATATTTAAATTTAAAACGTGAGTTGATTTTAAGAAAAATGTTAGTCGGTTAACAACTCGGGTGGTGTGGAGATACGGCCAGAATCATGAACAAGGATCCGTAAAGGACTCGAGCGTGGGAAATACTCATCTTAGTTCAGAGCCCAGCACACCATCTCTTAAGAAGGGCTGTGCGGATACCGGCAAATTTTTTGGAAGATCCCCGTCGGTGAGTCTAAGGGCTGGCTCTAGGCCGGCCCAGGAGCTGGAAGGACAGGAGTCTTGGCTGTGCCATTCCCCCTGGGGGCCTGCATGAGCCTCCTGGGTCTGGGCCGAGTTCCCCTTTTCTGCAATTGAGGAGGTTGTTGCCCTTCCAGCCGGCGCCTTCTCCTTCTTTCACCCTCCTGCCAGCTCTGGAGCTTAGACCAGGAGACAGTGTAAGAGGAAACGATTTCATGTTTCACATGCACACTCGCTTCCTTATCAAATACTCCTTGGGCCCCTCTGTGCACGGGGCACCTCTGCTCTCTCTAGGAAAGTCGTTACTTAAGGCCGTCTTGTCTCGGCCACCAAAGCCCAGGGCGCCACCTGCTGTCCCCATGGCGCCAGTGCAGCCTCCGATTTCGAGCCCCCTTCATCCGGAGGGAGAGGATGAGAATCCCCGGGAAATCCGGGGACGCAGGTCTTTTGCGAGCAGCTGGCAAGGCCGAAAGGGGATGCAAAGTAAATGGATGTGGGCAATTGGAAGAAAAGCCTCCCACGGATGGAAGGGCCCGGAGAGAACCGAAGGAAAGTGCGCAGCCGCCGCCGCCGCGTCTCGCCGTGCTTTTCTCTGGGATAAACGCTTACCACTGGCATCTCCAGGCGACCAAGGGGCACTGGGTCTGCTCCCCACCGCATCCCCGGGTGTGGAGAGAGCAGCTGGGGAGCTGCATCAGAATCTCAATAAATGGATGATGAATTTATTTAATTGGGACAGTGCATTCTTTTTTGCTGCTTTAAGTGGAGAGGAAGGAGATGCAAGATTCAAGGTACAGAAAAGGCACCTCCTCCCCCCGCCGCCCCGCAACACACACGGAAATTGCTCCCCAAAGCTCTCTTTCTCAGCATTCTCAGCGAGGAGGCTGGAACTCTTCTGCGACCAGAATGACATCTCCATGTCCGTCCGCCTGGGCCTGCCACCTCCCGCCCCCACCGCCAGCGACCGCCCTCCTCCGCCTGGTGGACGCTTGAGCAAACAGCTCAAAGTCCAGGTAGGTTTTGCAGCTGGAGGCCGGGGTGCAACCAGGAGCACAGGCTCTCCACCTTAGGTGTTCTCTCGCTTTGGTCTGAGTTGGTGGTGGGGAGGGGGGGGGGTGTTAGAATCAGAGTGCTCTGGTCTCACCAGTAGATTCTGGGGCAGTAGGTTTGGAGTAGAGTCCTGGGAGGCCGTCTCCCCCGCCCCTCCCCCCCGCGATTCTTGTCCTTCAAAGGTTGCACACCACTGCACTGGCCTGAAAGGCACTCCTGTGTCCAGGCTTCTTCCAGGCGCAGTGAAAAAATAATTGATTGTGGATGGGGAACTTACTTCCTGCGAGGTACTGCACCTGGGCTTCATGAGAATTCTCATTTAATGCTCACCACTGCCCTTTGAGGGGGCACCGTCTTTCTGTACATTTTAAAGAAAGGGGAGACGAAGGCTTAGAGGATTACTTGGCTTGCCCCAGTCCAGTAAATGGCGGGGACAGGATTGGAATTCAATTCATTCTGATTTCAAAGCACTTTTCCCCTAACTTTTCCCAATACAATTCTCTTTTTTCACATTATTTGGGTATAACGATTTTAGAGTTAATTTTTAAAATAGGCAATACAGGTATGTGGTTCAAAAAATTTTCAAAGTACTAAAACATATTCAGTACCATTGCAAAGCAATGTGAATACACTTAACATTCCTGACAACTGCGCTAGAAAATTTAAAGATGGTGACTTTTATGTTATGTGTTTTTTTTTTTAACCACAATTTTTAAAAAGAGGCGTTCAGTAGGAGGATTCTCTCTTGCCTTTGTCCCCTGTCTGTCTGGTGACCCCTCACCATGGGTAACCATCGCTATTAGTTTTATATGGATCTTTCCTTTTTAAAGTACACACGAATACATACAAATACATGCCCCCCTTCCTTTTTTGCACAAAGAGTAACAAACTATCCATACCAATCTGCCTCTTGTTATTGTCATAGGACACTATATCTTGGAGATCTTTCTATATCAGAACTTCAAGAGCCCCTCATTCCTTTTTAAAATTAATTAATAATTAAAAATTTTAAATTGAGGTATAATCAACGTAACATTATATTAGTTTCAGGTGTACAACCTAATGATTCAACATCTGTATACCTTAACTACAATGTCTAGTTAACACCTGGCCTTACATAGTTAACAGAAACCTTTTCTTGTGATGATGACTTTTAATATCCATTAGCAACTTTCAAATATTCAATACAGTATTATTAACTAGAGTCGCCATGCTGTACATCACATCCCCCTGACATCTGTTTTCTAACTGGAAGTTTGTACCTTTTAACCCCCTTTGCCCATATTCTCCGTCCTCCCACCCCCTCCTCTGTAGCTATGGGTGTGGTTTTTGTTTGCTTGTTTTTTAGATTTCACATATAAGTGAGAACATATGGTATTTGTCTTTCTCTGACTTGCTTCGCCTAGCATAATACCCTCAAGGTCCACCCATGTTGTTGCAAATGGCAGGATTTCCTTCTTTTTTTAATTTTTTAATGATTGAATAGTATTCCATTGTGTATATACATATACATCACACCTCCTTTATCCATTCACCCATGGATACTTAAGTTGTTTCCACATCTTGGCTATTGTAAATAATGCTACACCTCATTGCTTCTGTTAGCTGCTAGGGTAGCTCATTGTACAGAGACCATAGTTTCTGCTCACCACTCCCCTGCTGATGGGCCTTAAGATATTTTCCAGTCTCTTGAAGACATATTGGTTAACTAGCACCCAAAGGAGCCCGCTCAACTTACCTAGAGTTTAAACCATGACCTCAAAATAAAATGTATTGCTTAGACTCACCCTTGAAAACCGACAGCCCCATGTTCAAGACTCGGCCCCTTGCCTCAGTAAATCCCAGGCTGTTTTTCCTCCAGTGCTGGAATGGATAACGTGCCATATGGAGTAGCAGGTGTGCATTTAGGGGCCTTGGGGTCCAAATCAAGTGTCTTTACACACTGCAGTCACCCACGTTGTGGTCAGCTCACACCGTGAGAGGCTTTTGGCATACAGGGCCCAGCAGATTCACAGCCCCCATCTCATGCCCTCTCTGGGCTTGTTGGGTGGAGTGGTGGGTGGAGTCACTCAAGATATTAAACTTTTTGGGGGGGAGGTAGGTGGGAAGATGCATACAAATGAATTAATGTAAGTTACACACGAGGGTGCTGGGGTGCCACCTCTTGCTGTGCTGCATGGTAGTGGTCACTCTCCATGGGTGCTCTGATGGCCCTTCCATTAGCACTTTGTCCCACTGTCCCTCATTAAACTGTGAGCTCCTGAAAACCCAAAGGGGAGACCTCGTTGTCCCTGCCATTCTCACAGCCTTGAAAGTATGACTGGGGCACAGGCAACGCTGGGTGCTGACCACGTGCCAGGGGCCTGCTCAGCACCTTATTCAATTGCCTCACTTAATCCTGGTAACAACTCCCTGAAGTAGGTGCTATTGTTATTCTCAGTTTTGAGATGAAGAAAATGAGGCACAGAGAGGTCAGGCCACCTGTCAAAGTCACACAGCTCCTAAGTAGCAGAGTTGAGATTGTGAGTCTGGGAGGTTTGCCTCCAGAATCTGTCCTCTTCTGCTCTGCTCTGCTCTGCCGCCTCTGTGACCTTTCCTCTTTGTCCTGGAAAGTGAGGGAGGAAAGCTGGATTGTGATTACTTTAATATTTGCTTTAGCAAAAGTGTATTGTGAGCCTCGTCTCTGCTACTAATTAGCTGTTTCGACCTTGAGACAGTTAGTTAATGTTTTTGTTTCTCATCCATAAAGCAGGGACAATAGTACTGAGTGCATGTGGCTATTGTGAGGGTTCAGCGAATTAGGACATATGAGGAGCTTAGACATAGTAAGCATTCAAAGAGTTTATGCTGCTAGGCAATGGGCCAGGTCCTTTAGGCTCTTGGTACTCAAGGCAGCATGGGCATCACCTGAGAGCTTGTTAGAAATGCAGAATCCCAGGCCCCTCCCCCGACCAGCTGAATCAGAATCTGCATTTTAACAAGGGCCCTAGGTGATTTGCAGGTGCATTAAAGTATGAGAGAGCTCTGCTCTGTGGCAGTGACTTTCAATCACCCTTCTCCCTCAGACTCCCAGGCCCGACTCCCTGACCCCCCTGCATGGCGTGCGGAGGTGAGGCTGGACCATCCAGTTTTATCAGCTCCTTCAGCCTCTTCTGAATGTTGGGGCCAGCCAGGCTTGGCAACCCAGCTCTAAGAGCCAGCAGAGGTGAATGAATGAAGCAGTTTCTGCACTTCTGATGTGACAGGGTAGACACTCTTTTGGCTGTAGTGCCCAAACTTTTTAATCTTTTTCTGGGTCCGTCTTTCATCCTTGCCCAACCTGGCATTTTGAGAAATGAAGCTTTAGTGACTCGCGCAAGAAAGGCGGTCAGAGACAAGAGTGCCACCCTGTGGCAAGAGCCTGGCATTACCATCCGGAAAGCCGCTGGTGAGGATAAGAACTGAGTGACTTCTGTCTGTGGTAACAGGATGTTGATAGCTACATCCTATTGAGCCTTTCTTATACGTCGGGCACTGTGCCAAGTCTTCCTCATGGATTAGTTTATTTGAAGCAGGTACTATTGTTACCCCCATGTTGCAGGGATGGGGGAGCAGAGATGGAGAGGGATGAGGTGATTTGATCAGGCTCCCTCAGAGGTGAAGGCTGGAGCTGGGAGCGAACTCAGGGCAGCCTGGCTCCAGAGCAGACAATTATAACAGTTTGATATATTTCCTCTGCAGCAAGAGAAGGAGGCCTTTCTGGTGTGGACCCCCAAATTTTAGACTGTTTTTAGACCTGTGCTATTTTATTATTGGAGCCAGGCAGTCAGAGACCTGGGTTCTGGCATGAGCGCCCCTCTCTCCTACCCACGGAGTTGCAGGTAAGTCATTCACCTAATCTTTCGGAGTTTGTAGAAGAGGGGGTAATACTATTTGAGCTGTTTACATTATAGCATCTCTGCATGCTCTGCAAGAAGGCAGCACCTACAAGCCAAGGAGAGAGGCCTCTGGAGAAATCAATGCTGCCAGCAACTTGATCTCAGACTTACAGACTCCAGAACTGTGAGGAAATACATTTTTGTTGTTTAAGCCTTCCAGTCTGTGGTAATTTGTTGTGGCAGCCCTAGCAGGCTAATAGAAGCCCCCAAAAGCAATAACCTCAATCCAGACAGAGCATATACAGTGGAAGCTCTATTTAAAAAATGGGGCCTCACTATGGAGAACAGTATGGAGGGTCCTTAAAAATCTAAAAATAGAACTACCATATGATCTAGCAATCCCACACCTGGACATACATACAGAGAAAACTAAAAGATGCATGCACCCCAATGTTCATTGAAGCACTATTTACAACAACCAAGACATGGAAGCAACCCAAGTGTCCAAGATGAATGGTTAAAGAAGATGTAGTATATACGTGCAATGGAATATTACTCAGCCGTAAAAAAGAATGAAATAATGTTATTTTGCAGGAACATAGATGGACCTAGAGATTATCATACTAAATGAAGTAAACCAGATAGAGTAAGATAAATTATCATATGATATAGCTTATATGTGGAATCTAAAAAAAGTGATACAGATGAACTTACTTACAAAACAGAACTAGACTTACAGACGTAGAAAACAAACTTATGGTTACCAAAGGGGAAAAGGCAGGAAGGGATCAATTAGGAGTTTGGGATTAACATACACACACTACTATATGTAAAATAGATGACCAACAAGGACCAACTGTATACTCAATATTTTGTAATTAACCAACAAGGACCTACTGTATACTCAATATTTTGTAATAACCTATAAGGGAAAAGAACCTGAAAAAAAATGATATATATGTGTGTATAACTGAATCATTTTGCTGTACAATTGAAACTAACACAACACTGTAAATCAACTATACTTCAATAAAAAAAAATTAAAAATAAAAAAGGGGTTTGGGTTGACTAGTGCTACTATCGTGTTGAGGCCTGGTCTTGGGTCA